ACTCCATTCTTGGGAAATGTGACTCAGACCTTTCCCTTCAGAGGAATTTAATTTCTTTCTTCAATGAAGGACCTACCCTGAGAGTTCCAACCTACATGAAGAGAACTCGAGTTTCTCACACTGTCTAGACAATCCTGGGGCCAGACAAATACTTTCTGGAAACTTTTGTGTCAAGTTGGTGGTCAACTTGACAGGGCAGACAGCCCAAGAGTCACAGAAGGCTATCGACTCATCCATCGCCCTCATGACAGACCCAGTGGCCTGTGGGTCCCCCTGCACCCAGACCAAAATGACAGTAGCTCCAGGCAGTCAGGACCCACCCACCACCAGCCTGGCCTCCGAGGCTGTTCCAGTTACCAAGGTGTGATGGTCCCAGAGTGCACCCACTTCTTTTTGTGGACCCACAAAGGATTCCAGTTTGCTTGGGTGTGAAATGAAACCAGAGGCATTAATGGAGACTTACAGACAAATCACTGAGCACAAAGGGATGAATCGATAGCACACATCACCAAAATCAAAAGACTTGCTTCCAAGGGACACAAGAGTCGTAACCCTAGGATGGAAGAGCAGGGGACAGCATACTGGGGACGTACTTCCTTCCCAGAAGGACGGCGACATCTCCCATAACAGGTTTTCTTAATGGCCAATCCATGCACTGGCATTTGTGCATGAGCCGGAGGGACCGCACGTTTACCGACTGGCTGAAGGAGCATTGCTGCAGGGCTAAGAACACAGAACCGAAAGGGACCTGGGAAAGCCAACGGACATGAGTAAAATACAAACCACTGTGAACGGCCCAGGTACATGAATTCCAAGGACCCAATCACCCGAAGGCTTCTCTGCAATCTCGAGGAAACTGCAGAGACGCAGAATAAAGACGCACCCCCGCCACCCCGGGTCTTTATCCAGCCTTGCGCTGAGCTCCAGCCAACGGGGCTGCCTTACCACCCCGCACCGTCAACCCCTGCATTCTCCCGTCCCACCCCGCCCTACACAAAATGAGGAGAGCTCTCCTTGGCCCCGGATTCAGAAGCAAAACCAAATTTCACATGGAATGTCAGTGGAATGCAAGATGACATTTAATTGAGAAAAGAAAACAAAGTCGTTATTAGTTTTCACAACTGTCTAAGCAGTGCGCTAATGAACAGGAGTTATACAGTGGGCTCACACAGGGCACAGCCAGGAGGGCTTAGTAAACAGATTTTGTGCGTGTGGAGACGAAGTTTACTGTTCTTTGGCAACCAGCTGACACAGGTATGATGAGGCCCCCAGAGCTGGGTTTGGCCGTGAGCACGCCTAGTCCCAGGCTTCCCTCCACTGTGTCCAAAGTGTGTCCCCACCTCAAGCAAGGAGTGTTGGCTTAAGGAATCTCTCCTAAAAACCCTACAGCCCGGGCAGGCCGAGTTTCAGCGAAGGCCTGCTCTGAACTGGCATGAGTCCTTGCAACAAGAGCGCACGTTGGAGAGGAAAGCAGCAAACTTCGTGCCAACATTTATGCACATATTGTAGGACAGTTCAACCGTTCAACTGTCTTCCAGCTCGAGAAATGCTCTCGTGCTGCCAGTTGTTATTAAAAGGCGGGATCACGGCTCTGCAGTATGGACGCGAAATGATCAGGTTCTGGGTGGGATGTGAAGGGAAAGTCACCCACCTGGTGACGTGAAGCTCCGTGGCGAGGACAGCGGGAGGCGGGCCAGGAGCCTGAAGACCAGGGAGAAGGAGGCTGTCCAAGGGACGTTGATCTAAGGCCAGGTCCATTTAAATTCTGCCAGAGGAAGATACACTTGGCGACTCAGGCTGAATAATCCTGACTCAGCTGAAGCCCAAGCTGGGGCACCGCATCCTTTGATCATCGGCATGATGGGCCTGGCAATTCATCACACTCTTGGAAGAACTCCTGCATGACAACGGCAGGTGGTGATGGGGAACGCCAACGGATGAGGGTCTGGGGCTTTCTGGGATTCACCTTCGGGAGCTCCCCACTCTGAAAGAGGCTCAGAGACGGAACCGAGAGCCCGATTCCCTCTCATGAGGGCCACTGAGACAAGCTTGCCAAAACCAGTCTTCGCACAGGGAAGGCTACCATTGTTTTCTATCCAAATGACCTCTAAGATTAATGTGGGATGAAGGACATCTTTGTGGGCTCAGGAATTCATTCTGATGTCATAGCTGCCAAGGGAAAGAAGTGTCGGCCATCAGATCCATATAGCCTGAAACTAAGAGGGCTCGCATACTTGCTGAGTGGTACCAAATATCTGGGGGCTCTGGTGACTTCTGAGATCAACCTTCATAAAAGCAGTCCTGCCTCATAGTGGCCTGTAGCTCAGTCATCAAAAGACATAGTCACTGATTTTTCTAGGTATGAATCTTCATGAAATAAATCCTAAATGCTGCTGGAAGTAAGGAAAAACCTTCAAGCTTTTCATATTCCTTAACACTTCCACTAATGAACAGCAGATGGGGCTGCAAAAAATCACTGGAGTAAAGACTTGGGGGAGAAAAAGAACCTTTTAACCTAAAAAGCAATTCACTCAGAACCATTTCAAAACATAAACAGGACTTCTTTTTGTGGTTTAAGGTGTCCGTGAGTCTGTTTCACGCTGGAATTCATGTACAGAATCCCCCAGATTGTCCTGAGTGAAAATCAACTTACTGTTTTAACATGTAGATTTTGAAAAAGAACTCCTCCCCGTGTCCCTCTACGCATGTTACAATTTGCTAGAAGACAAAATAGTTACCTACACATCATTTGATGGCAGCAAACCTATGCGCCAGTGTCTCAGATCAGGGACAAAACACACAGAGCCCTGCCGCTGCCTTCACAGGCACACCCCACCCTCCCGGCGTTCACGCGCACACCCCACGTTCCCCGCGTTCATGCGCACAAATGCTTCCGATCATTATTTTTCACTAGATGCAATACCCTGCGCCAACGCAGGTTGAGGACATTCATGGATCATGCTGCAGACTCCGCACAAATTTGCGGGAAAACAAGACACAATTCAAGGGACAGGGAGGGATGTGTCCACCAAGTGTCTTGTTGAAAAAGGGCACAGACCCACCCAGGGAGCCAACTTCTCCCACTTGACTCAGCAAGTCAAGAAAAGGGGCCCTGGAGGGCACCTGTGGGGAGGAGCACTGGGTGTTATATGGGAACCAACTTGACAATAAACTATTTAAAATTTAAAAAAAAATAGAGGGGAGACTTTAGTCCTAGTATTGGTTGTAAAAAAGAAAAAAAGAAAGAAAGAAAAGAGAAAAGAAAAGGGGCCCTGGACTTCCTTACGGAGAAAAGCGAGGGCCGGCCCTGGGCAGAGAGCGGCACAGCGGGCGGGGGCCCCCCAGGCTCACCTGGCTGCAGGACGTCTTCTTAGCTGCCAGTCCCGGCCTTCTGGGGACAGGGATGAGCAAGGCACAGATGGACAGATGCCACTTCTGGACAGCGCTGGTCCACAAATGCCTCAGTGAAGTGAAGGCTGCCAGACAGGGCTGCGCGGTGTGGCCCACACTTCCTCCGAGAGAGAAAGAAAGGACACGGGCTGGGGCGAGGAGAGCCGCCCTGCCTCAGGAAATCGGGGGTTGTATGCTTGCGATATAGATTGGAGCAATTAACAAGTATAAGTTGTTTCAAAATCAGCTTAAATCTGCATTTTATGCGTGCAAGTTTCCATCTGTAATGGGATTATGATGTCAGCAGAGGGAGAGAAGTGTGCAGCTGCGCGGGCTACCGAGGGAGCAGGCAGCTGTTAAAATCGAGAACTAATGGTGATTAATTCTTATTATGTGTTTGAAGATTCCACAAAGAGTTCAAGACCCAACTCTTCCCACGGGGGAGGAAGTGAAGGAGGAGAATTTCCATGAAAAGAGATTTGGAGAAGAGTGTGTGCGCGCTCACGGCGCCCCCCCACCCAGCCCCGGAATTGCTGCCTCGCCAGCCCGGTCATTGTGTGGTTCAGGTTTTAATCCGGTTCCGTGTTTTCACCAGCCCGCGCGGCCGGCCCTGCTGTCCGCGAGATCACACTTAAAGCAGCTGGTATAGACCGATCGCGTGTTCTGTCTCCCGCCGTGGCCCATCCTGGACGTCCATCACATCCTCTATATTTGGAAGTGATCGGTTGCCATCCGATCTGGGGAGATGAACCATGTTCACCACATCCTGGCAGATAGCAGCTACCTGTGTGGAAACCAAGCGCTCTAACTGGATGTTAGGACACGCTCTCTGGGGAAACAAAACAAAACAAAACAAAACAAAACAAACAAACAAACCCTGTTAACTTTCATTTCTGACCAAGACTATATCCAGGGGGAGGTACCAAGGCCATAAAAAACTCACCTATTTCTGACGTTCTCTGTAACTTGCATTTGTATGAAAAGGTCTTTTTCCCTGTAGCTTTGAATACAAAACTCAGATATAAGGTTCGCAAGGGGGGAAATTAAAACAACAATAAAAAAAACCCCTCTGATGCCACAAAATAAGGAAGTTACATACAATATAGCTAAAAGTAATGTCTAAGGTAACAGGATAATTTCACAATAAAAAACAATCAAACTAAGAGAAAAAAAAATCTTGTAAACTTTTATGTACGATATCTCTGGCCAAGTATCAGTTCGTAAAGGTACAAACTGAAGTTCAGAAGTAAGTAGCCTGAGAGTCAGAATGCAGTCCTTCTTCTAGGTCAACAATGGACTGGCTAGAAGGTACTAGAAAAGTCAGCTTCTTCATTTGTAGAACCCTTCTCTAAGTACACAGAGAATACTTCCAGCTTTAAAATACCTTCACTGTAAAAGGAGAAGGATGACCCGGCAGGGATCTAACTAGATCCTGGGCTCAAACACCACCCAGATCAAGCCAAACAGCTCACTGGTACCTGCAACAGCAGTAGATATTTTGTGGAAGCTTCCCAGCCCCCTTTCCGGCACTCGGTGGAAGGCAGTACTTTTTTTTAAGTGTACGCTGACCTACTAAATAGGAAGGAAAAAAGAAACAACTGAGGCAGCTATTCGAATTGCAGGGGACAATGAGCAGAGGCTGGGGACGTACTTGAACAGGGTTCGGAATGACGAGTGTTGGAGGAAGGGACTCGGGAGATGCCGCACACCGCGTCTGCTCTCTGGCAGGGTCCAGGACAGCCATTTCTCTGCAGGCGCATTTTCTGGATAGCGGCGCAGCATTCCTCCACACAGGTCACAATATGCAGGCAGCCTGACATGCAAATGAGGCCAAATGTTGACAGCACCCTTTTCACCATGGCCTTCTGGCATTGACATAGTTCTGGGCTTCGGGTGGAGACAAAGAGCCCTTGTTTCCCTGCTTCCTATCTGGGGGAAGATCAAATTGCTCAGTCTTCGCTCCCCCTTGTATTTAAAAAAAAAAGGAGGGGAATTACAGAGTTGAAAGGAGAAAAGAAGTTTAAAGCCCCCTAACAACACTTAACGCTGTTCGGGGGAGGGAGCAAGAACGAGGGGCGGAGGATTTATTTTTGGGGGTGATGCCGTTGACCCGTAACCCATCAAGCTCCACGGAACTCACAAGGTTCTGGGCTCGGGGCCATCCCTGCCCAATGTCCCTGTAAAAATGTCTACGCTCTCCTAATTTTCCTTCCGACATTACCTCGATAACTTGATTCTTACAACGGACCTATTTGTTTGCTTTGAGTTCTTTTATCTTATTCTGTTTTTTTTCGTTTTTTAATATTTTTATTCATTTTTGAGAGAGACAGAGTGTGAGTGGGGGAGGGGCAGAAAGAGAGGGAGACACAGAATCAGAAGGAAGCAGGCTCCAGACTCTGAGCTGTCAGCACAGAGCCAGATGTGGGGCTCGAACCCATGAACCGTGACATCACGACCTGAGCCAAAGTCCAGCGCTTAATAGACTGAGCCCCTCGGGTGCCCTGAGTTCTTTTATTTTAAAAGTGCAGCTGGAGCAGTGCCCTGTTCACGTTTCCATATCGTTGTCCGTCCTTCCCCCGTGGTGTCTAAGGACACCCTAACCCGGATCTGAGCGGCACCCACCCCAGGGCAGCGTCTGTGTGACGCCTCTTACTTGAAGGTTACAACTTGGCAAAAGTTAAGCAGGGAGGAAATGCAACAATGGGAGACACACTTAACCTCCAACTTAACCTGCGCGGGACCTTGGTCCTTTGAGGCGGTGGTGACTTCGGGGAGTGGGCACAGGGTGGGCTTCCATGTCCTCTTTAAGGACACTTTCCCAGCACAGGCCGGGTGTGCCGGGCCGGGAGCTCCCGCAGCCCTGCGCACGCAGGCTCCCCAGTGCGTTGAGAGCCGGAGCATGTGAGCTTTCCGTGCAGCCCGGTGGCAGGGCCCAGCAGAGAGGCGGTCACAGCTGCTGTGCGCCTCAGACTCTAACAGCCAAAGGTAGGGGGTCCTGGAGGGGTGCCAGGAACTGCCTGAGAGGTCAGAGGAGGGGGAGGCGGGGGGCCGGGAAGAGGGGAGTGCGGAAGGAGGCTGTAATGGGATGGCAGGATGCCCGGGATTCATGGGGCATAAAGACAGGAGGCGGCTGGGGCAGTGAAGGATTGTGGAGAGGCAGGGACACAGAGAAAGTGGGCTGTGCCGCGGAGGGCGGCCCGCAGAGACAGGTCGGGTGGAGTGGACTTGGCATCCAGGTCTACTTTCCGATCTGCTTCAAAGTATCAACAAAGATCTGGCGGCGCCTCTTAAATAATGAATTGCAAAATGCCGATTGGGTCCTGGGGAAAACGCACCTTTCTTTGCACGGAGGCCAGCGTTTCTGAGATGTTCACCCTTAGTCTCTGCAAATCTACAGATCAAGGCAAGACGATGTTGACCAAGAGGAAGATACTTAACAAAACTGTATGTAATGTGTTTTAACAAAAACTGCTCATGTTTCTGAATTGCATAAATATATATATATATATATATATATATACATATTCTAGAGCCAATGACTTCTGCTTTTTTTTCAACAGTTTTATTCCAATTTCCATCCCGTTTCAATGAAAATGACCTTTTCTCCTAACGGAAGTACAGCAGGAAGCCACTGTAAGGCTCGTTCAGAACTTAGCTGGGCTCCAGGGTCAAAAGCCAGACAACTAACAAAGGATGGTCACAGAGGGGACCACAGTGGGTGTCCAGGAACCAGAGATCAAAAGAGGAGGGAGCAAGACAGAGCCAGGGCAGGGAGGAGGCCTCAGAGGGAGAGCAAGCAGTGCGAAAAGCACAGAGGACGCGATGCAGGAGGTAAGCGGGTTAGGATGGAGAATGGTAGATGACACGTGCTGTCTGGAGACAGATGTCCTTTGGCAAAGTTAAATGATGGGGCCCAGAGGATTCCTAGTCTTCCATCCAGAAACTAGCCTGGGACCCACCCAAAGGCCGCCACCCTGCTCTGTTTCTTCTTGCTCCCATGCGCACTCACCACCTTCTAATAGACCACATTCTTCTCCTATTTATCACGCGTATTTCGTCTTGTCCATCCGACTGCACTAGAAGGAAAGAACCATGAAGGCAGGAATAAGTCCGTTTTGTTCACTGATGGATCCCTAGTGCCTAGAACAGCGCCTGATAAATGGGGACCTTCCTGAAACATAGCAGTCATATGCCCACGTAATCAAGGAAGTAAAACACACGGTCCCCCTAGCCTTTTGAAGCACGTCACTACCTTTGTCTCGTGAGAAAAGCCAAGCGTCCAACTTGAGAGAGGTCAGTGATGGTCCCGTCCACCCAGAAACATTGGGTGGCAACTCAAGATAACTTGGGAAATTTGAGCCGGTCAAGTTTATTGCCATGTCACCAGCAAGTACCTTTTGGGACTGAGGGAATTAACAAACAAATTCCACAAACCACTGGCAGTCATTTCAAGCGAGGTAGTAGGAAATGAGAGCCTAGAGGAGAAATGGCAAGAATGGATGTGAGAGTGATTTTTTAACTCGAAAAGAAGATTGATCCTGATTTCTACCATCTGGGAGCTAACCCAAATCCCTAGGAAAATAAGGCTCCCTCAAGCCAAGGTAAAATTAAAGAGACATAGCAATCCATACTCATTAATGGTCCCATAAAGCATCAGGAACGGTTCTTTCTCATCCTGGCTTCTTGGCTGGTTGTAGGCCCTGGTCCTGCAACGGAATATAGTAAATATATTTACATTGTTTATGAACATGTCCTGATTGCAGTTAAACAATTGATGGAAGTTACTCCCATTTGGTTTGTATAAAGAATGGTTGTTCAGAGCTGAAAACATATCTGAGTGATGACAAATTAGATTTACTGATTTGGGGAGATAGCCTGTAGGGATGGGAACAGATGAAAAATACACAGGCAGCGGGATATTGAAGTAGGTAAATGATTTAAAGCAGCTTTGAAAGTGGTTTGTTATAAGTGAGTTGCCAGGAGAATTTCCCACCCTACTTGTCGGCTGTCTCCTCCCTTCGGTACCCAATTGGAGGGAGTATGGGCACCACCTGCCCTTTCCTGCTGCACCTCAAGATCCTTTGCCGCCTCTGCTCCTGACTGTCTTTACTTGTCCTGGACCTTGGGATGGAGCACTTCTTGGGAGCAAGGCTTCCCAATGGGGATTCATCGTATCCTTCCTATCCAAGGAAGTAGAGTCAGTGCTTCACACTGACCACTGGTCCATCAGATACAGGGACAGAGATTTAAGGGCAGTGCTCAGAGTACTGGGTCACAGGAGGGTCCTCAAGGAGCACATGGACCGCTACATGCCTTCAAATAGCTCTCAGATCCCATCTGTGGCTCTGCCACCAGTTGCCTCTGGGACCACCCCTTCTGCTACAGGAAAGTGTGGTACTTCAGAAAGGGGAGAGCTCTGGGCATTCAGGAGGTGGCCCAACTCCTTCAATTTACACATGAGAATAAAGCCCAAGAGAGAGAGAGAGAGAAGAGAGGGAGCCCTAGTTCATGACTGATGAAGAGAGAACCCAAACTTGTTGCCCTGTTCTCTCCACTTGGCAGAACTCTTTCCTCCAAAGAGAACAGGGTTATTCGAACCCACCCAGGTCCCTCACCCGGCGTTAGAACAAGTTCTCATCCATCACTTATTTTTAACCCTCCTTGGAAAGTTTCCAGTTGCCAAAGGCATAGAGGTGACCTGTTATTTTGTTTCTACTGTTATACAGCATTGTGAGAAAAGGAAAAAAGAAAAACCACATTCCACTTACCCATGGGTAATCTCTAAGAGCAACATGTTTTCTGCACTTTTAATTGTGGTGTGTCTGCTATGATACAGAGATAGACAGAGATTGATGATATAGATAATTGATGATAGATAGATAGATGATAGATAGAAGATAGATAGATAGATAGATAGATAGATAGATAGATAGATAGATAAATAGATAGATAGATATACATAGACAGAGAGATGATAGAGATCTTGTCTGAAAACTCACAGGCCAAGTCACCCTGTTCCCTGCTGGTCACAATCCTCATTGACCAGTGGGACCCAAAGGCACCTCGGAGCAGCGAAAAGAATTAGGAGTAGTGGTTTGGGATCTCTGAGGCCCCTGCCTATCCAGCTTCAATGAACATCCCACATGCTTGAACATCTCTCCCTACTTAGAAAACAAGGTATTTCACAAGTGTAATGGGGTTGAGCTTAGGAGATAGTTGAAATAATAGTGCTAACTGTGATAGTAATGATAGTGACAATATTTTCATGACATTCCGAGTCTTCATAGTTTCCTTCTCTGGAGTATAGGCTTCCCAATGAATTCATTGCACCCTTCCTATCAAAGGCTCCACACTGACCACTGGTCCATCAGATACGGGGCAAGGACTTAAAGGCATTGCTCAGAGGACTGGGTCACAGGAGGGTCCCCAAGAGGCACGTGAACTGCTACATGCCTTCAAATAGCTCTCAATTTGGTTAAAGAGACGGGTAGCACCTGGGCCGTGATTGGAGCACCATTAGGTGTTACCTCCAGCTTCGTCCAGCCCTTTCTCACCTTGCAAGTTGACTTGACCTTCAAAATTTAGCTCAAAACATCCAATTATTATCAGTTCCTTTCCAAATACCATGTCCGGTGCTTTTTGTCTTTACTGCATTTGATCCTCACTTACTCTAAGGGCTTTCACTTTTAGCTTTAATTTCCTTGAAAGAAAACAGGAACAGGGAAGATTTGCAACGGACCCAACTCCCCACAGCTCATGTGGCATTCATCACATAGTAGCTGCCGATGAGCATTATTGAGTGGCTAAATGAAGACATCGGAATGTGAACACAGAGCTCCCTGGCAGTCACGGACACAGCGGGGAACAGAGTGAAGGGACACGACACGCTGGGCCCGCAACAGGGTGATGAAAGCAGTGGTAAGATTTGGTGACTGGAGACCTCCTTGTTGAGAGGGGAGAAAGGAGGAATGAGTCCAGTGCCTTCCAGGCTGGGTGGTGGCTGCAGAAGGAAACAGGATGGCTGGGAAGCAACGTGGTGTTTCTACACCTTTGACTCTTCTCAGAACACTTTACGACCAAGCATGCTTTATCAGCATGCTTTATCATGCTTTATCTCATGGCCCTCTTCTCGAGCTCTGTCTGCCTTGATGTGTCTCTCCTTCCTCATTAAAAACTGCTAATCTTACTGATTGTAAGACATCTTTCAGTGACACAGAAAACTTCTGGGATCCTGACACTTGTACACGGGGACACCTGCATGTTGCAAATTTTGTGGACTGTGTGTGATAAATGCATGATCTGGGAACTCCCAGTTCCTGTCAATGGTCTCGTTCGCTCCGTCAGTCACTGCAGAGCTATGTTTACCTGGACTGGGCTTTGGGGTAGCTAAGGAGGGAACATCAAAATCATGTTAGCCCCTAGGGTGGATCCGATGCTCTGCCATGGCCAAAAGGCCCCAGAGAATGAGGACAACTCAGTTCCCTTGAAAAAAGGCTGGGTGAGTCAGAGCCCAGGAAATCTACCTCCTCGTGCTCAGTGTCTGTAAACTAAGGGGGCCCAGGGATAAGCAGAAGATGATTATTCCTTTTTTCACATTCTGACACCCTCCCTTGCTTCTAGCCCACCCGCCCCCAGGAACTGTTCCAAGACCCCCACTTGGCCTTCAAAGGAAGACAGCGCTCATAGAGTTACAGGCAGGAGGGGAGCATCTTACGGATGTACAGAAAATGTATCGGACTTAACCATCATCAGGCAGGAAACAGCTAATGGCCAGGTCTGCATTCTTACCCAGCCCAGGGGCCCCCAGGCAGTTACCCCCAGGCTGCTTCAAGCCAGGCTTTCTTATAGACTCACCGTCGCTAAAAAACAAAGTCAAACATAAAACTCAAATAGCAGACCAAAATAGCAAGCAGCTATATTTTAGACGTTGCATAAGAAGGAGAAAACCCCCTGGCTGTGTGGAAGGTTTTGTGACAAATCCCACTTCGGGGCGCGCCACGCTGGCAGGAAACTGCCCCACGCTGACATTGGGACGTGCACCCTGCATTTGCACGTGGCCTGGAGGAGGGTCTGGAGTGAGGTGGACACGGTGCATCTGAGAGCCTGGGTCAGGGGAGCAACACAGATGCATAGAACGGACCCACGTCACTGCATCTGTTGGGAAGATGGCTTTTGGATGTGAAACAAACACGTAAAAGCCATATTCTGTTGGGGAGGGATTTTTAAAAGAATCATTTAAAAAATATCAATTGCTTGAAATGAGAACATTATTTCTATTCTGCAGAAATGAAAAAGAACCTGAGTTGGAAAACTGGCCAGACTTTTCTTTCTTTGAACGATTAGGAAATCTTTCCAGAAACAAGTCGCTGTTTTCAAACAGGGGCAAAGAGG